AAAGGAAAATTAACCCTTTTGGCATAAAACAAAGCTAACGCCTTCTTTTCACCAGGGGTTCTATAAGCCTTAAATATTCAACAGCCTTAAGCACAATGTGCCTTTTTCATGTTAGACTCATCTTCCTTACAACCCTCTGAGCAGTTTGGATGCTTGTGCCAGCTCTCCAAACTGACAACTCTTGCCCAGCTGAGAGGACTCGGGGGATTCAGATGGAAAATTTATTTTAACTTCTGATCTCCATCATTCCTTGACAGAAAAAGTGAACTTTTAGCCATTACCAAAACTGGAAAAGAGAGTCTAGAATTTAATACACATAAGAGGAATGAGAGAACCTTGGCATATGCCCTGGCTTGAGAGAAATGGGCTCTGCCTTTCAGTGACATGAACCAATTTTTCTAATGACTATAATTTTGTTACTGCTCTGCTTGAGAAAATTGCACCACTCTGACTTAATATTTAAAACTGTAGCTAGGCCAAAAAAGATGAGTTTAAGAGTTTTGTGGAATTAATACTTTTGAAATTACATCTCTAGTATTGTAGTAAGGAATTCCTAGGTGCTGGAATTATTTGGAAGACCATCTCTGACACTGTAGTCTTTGTTCACTATCTTATTATTGTTCTTTCTGAGCCTTGAGATCTCTTGGAGTTTTTGTTGTAGGTTTGGTTTTGGGTTGTTTTTGTTTTTTTTCTTAACTGAGGTACCAGTTATTAAATATGTGCAACATATCTGGAAGAAGGTAGACAAAAGTGGTATCAACACAAATAACGTGTATAAAATATTTATTGTAAACAAAAGAATTTTGTGCAAATGTTAAGAACAAAGGCTTCTGTTTTTTTAAAAATGCCACGACTTTGTAAGATGTAAAACTCACCAAATCCACTCAGTAAAATAGTCCAAAAATAGTCCACTCAAGCCAGACACGTAATTGGCTTTGATTTTTCCTGTAGAGTGGAACTTCAGTCTCTGAGGTTTAATGTTGGCTCTTAAGATCTATTTTTTAATACCTTTGATGTAGGAAGGTAAAGAATGACCCAACAAAATGGAAAGAGAGCTGCAGCAGCATCAGGCCCACCTCTGTCAACTCCTCAGGCCCCCAGGGTGTGATCTCCAGCCAGCAGTGGGGCCCCTACCAGCCATGGGAACTGCTCTCTCTTCTCTACCCAGGCTGTAAAAACTAGGCACGGGCTGTTCCTCCAGGCGGTGGAATTCCTTAAGGTGGAAGTGAGTTGCCAGTTTGTTCACCATCCTTTTCAGAGTGACAAAGGCTGTGATGACTTGGAAGGCAAGGAAGAAGGCAAAGACAATGTGCACTGCTCGCTCCAGAGGCTGGATTTTCAGACCTTCATTAAACAGCAAGAAGAGAATTATGGGCAACTGCAGGAGGAGACTCAGGAGCCAAAACCCAGCCAGCTCAGGGACCTATAACAGGGAGACATCACCTATTAAAAACCTGGCAGCCAGAGATGAAAAAATCCAAAATCTTGTGAAGAAAAAATGTTGGGGTTTTTAAAATTTTTTAAAGGACAGAACATAATGTGAAAAATCAGAGTGAGGTGGCTTCATGTTTTCATATACCATGTTTTTAAGCATACTTATATTTTCTGACAAAACAGTTTTAGAGAGTGAGAGGGCTCTCTTCTGAGGGAAAACTTCCTGGAATTCACAAAATTAAGTGGAAGCCGATGCCAAGGGAATAGAAGATGCACACTGCAACTTAAGAGAAATAAACATCTCCTCATCTTAAATCTCTTCAACAAAATGTCTACCAGTTAATGTTAAACTCCAAAAAGCATTCCTGCAGAAATTAATATGTACATTTGGCAACATACTTTCTCCTGGAGATTGCCCATGTATCCCAGGTAGAGTCGAATGACCTCTATCAGAGAGGCCAGGATCATGATGGTGACCAGGATGAACTTGTAGTAATCTGACAAGTCTGGATACTAGAGGGAAAGAAGAGAGTAAAAGCTTCTGCTGTGCTGTTTGTGATTTAATGAAGATATTGTATGCTACTGTAAGCTGACAACGTTATATTGGCACTCAAACACTCTTGAACCTCCAGTTGCAGGGAATTCCCAAATAAATGTAATAAGTTCTAACTCCAGGGAGCTGTATCTCCTATTAGGTGTTTCATGTAATATACATTTGCAAACCAACACTTTCCTTCACACTCACCTTCAGATAGAGCATGACAACTGTGCAGAGCCACCAAAAAGGGAAAAAATAAACGTTGAAATAGAGGGACATCTGCAGTGGCAAACTGGAAACTATTTCATTATCTGTAGAGAGAAAGAAGACTTTATCATTCCTGGTTTGTTCCATACTTCCCTTCCATAAACATGACAGAAGGATACTGCTCCATCTTAGCTTCATGCATTAACACTCCAGTCAAATTATATGTTAGGAGAAATATTTTTAATTATCCAGAGGAAATCTTCTTACCCTATCTGGAGTGACACCATTTCCTGGAATCTAATGCACCTTTTGGTTCTGAAACCATCACAACGGGACACCAAATTTTTATGACTTAGTCATATATTCCAGTTGAGTGTCCAACTGTTGATTACCTGGTAGCTTAAGGATTACTCCATGATCTCTGAGGCTTAGCTCAAGTGGTGCTGTATACTGACTCTGCAGAAAGAGTCAGTGGTTATTTCACTGCAGGTCCCAAGAGAATGGTTGTAAGTTTAAATGAGCACACACTGGATTATCAGTATTTTGTACATGACCCCCCTGAGTAAGGATTTACTAGTAGACAGCAGGTTTTCATTGCCCATTCTTCATTTGCAATCTTTTATTTAAACAGACATTTGGATGGAAGCCAGTAATCTGCCTAGTTCTTAAGAGCTAAAAATTTCAAATGTGTCAAACTAAAACTTATGCTTTAAAATCTGTAAAGAAAAAAATGCATTCAGACAATGCAATGTATAGAAAAGCAAATATGAAACGTTAAGATGCAGACAGTAAATTCCATATTTACGATTTTGTAATAGACCTACAAGATGAGACTTAAGAAAAAAAATTTAAAAGGGCATTCTAAGGGAATCATTAATTTTTAATGGATGGAGTTTTACTGCTGTATTCTAGTAAACTGATATGGCATCCACTTTGCTTCCCAAATGAAGTCTGTAGCCACATATTCACTTGGTACTACCTGATCAAGTTTAGAAAGTATTGACTGTGATCTGCTGATTTGTATTCAGCTCCTGTGCCTGTCTGTCACAGTGGTGATGTTTGATTGAAATGTTGTCCAAACAGCCACACTGCCTCCCTTCCAGCCTCAGAACTACCTCTCTTCTGACACTGCCTTCCCTTTTCAGATCTTCCAACCACTCTAATACCCGTCTTTGTTCCACCCCAGTCTGGCACTTCTGTCCATCCTGGTACAGAGTCTTTATGCCAGGTGCAGAAGTAGGCATGGTAACTACCAGATGAAGTGGGAAGAGGGGAGGATTTGGGAATAGAACTGGGACAGACCTCATGGGTAGGGTGTGAGAGGCAGTGATCTGCTATACTAAATAGAAGGTGCAAGACAACCAATCCATATATATATATATATTTAATAATCCCATTTTTAAGCATCGACACTTTCTTACATCTGCAAAGGAATTAAAATCTATATGTACCTCAAAAACAGTTTCACCATCTACCTAAAATTGTCCCAGCTGTCCTAACACAGGAATCTCTTGGACATGAAGATTACTTCAGTGGTCACCAAGATATAATTCTAAAACACTGTTTTATCTTTCAAAAAAAGCATGACCATAACTGCAAGTAACTATGCTTCTGCCCTATATGTATTAGATAAAATTGTATTGGTTCATGGCCACATTAGTTAAAAACAGAGAAGCCAAGAACTCTAATTTCAATTGTCATGATAATGTTTAGGTATGTTAAAGGTTTCATTGACATAGCATTGCTATTCAGAACTGCTGTGCAAGATCTAAAACTGTGTTTTGGATGAATATTTAGCAGTATAAGCCAACTCTACTTAATTTTTCTATCCCTAAATTGAATTAACGCTTATTTTCTGGGATTGCTAAAATTAATGGAAAAGTGGGACAGTATTGCAATAGCCAGTTGCTAGTGAAACTCATTAAGGTATATATGTGTAAACTTAATTTTTGAAATCCCAATGTCCAAGAATTTAATGGCACATTTGCAACTGGGTTTCAGTGGACTGGACACTCACAAAGGAGTTTTCATAATGGGAAATGGAAAAGAAATGACTAAAGATAGAAGCTGTTCCTGGAGTGTTGTTTGATAAATGAAATGAAGAAAGTAGTAAATGTTAGCAGTGTAACCACACAAAGAAAATCACAGAATATTCTGAGTTGGAAGGAACCCACAAGGATCACCCAGTCCAGCCCTTAAGTGAATGGACTGTATGGGGATCATGACCTTAGTAGCACGCTATAACCAACTGAGCTAATTACTTTCTGATTAATTTGATCAGCTTGGAACGGATTTATCACCCGAAATTAATACAGCCTTCCTATGCGGACACATTGTGTGTATTCTCGCTCTGGAGATATGAAAAGAGGGCGCGCTGGCCTGCAAAGTTTCAGTGGCAGTACGATGAAGGAACAGCCGGCGGTCGTCACGGCAGACACGGGCAATTCCAGAGAAAGCTGGCAGGGAAACCAGCCCCATCCCAGCGGCGCCTCTGCCGGGCCCGCGATCCGGGACCGGCCCCTCAGCCTTCCCGCCCCATCCTCCTCCTCCTCCTCCTCCGCCCCGGGGCTCTCCCGTGCCCGCCGCGGCCGTGCGGTACCTGCGCCGTCCCCCGCGCACCGCGGGCCGGGCCGGGCGGTGTCGGTGAACACGGCGCGGCTGAAGGAGCCGAGCCCCCGCCTCAGGGGCTCGGGCAGCGCCATGATGGCGGGGCCGCGGAGCGCAGGCCCGGGAGCTCTCCCGGATTTGGGGCGGGGAGCGGAGCGGGAATTTTCCAAGAGTTGAGGCGGGGACAGCGGTGCCTCCGCCCCGGACACGGTGCTGTGGAGCGCACCCAGGGCGCGGTGGGCGCCCAGCCCGGAGTGCTGGGGCCGCCCTCAGCGGCGTCCCTGTGCTCGGAGCCGCCAGGTCTGAGCGTCTCCCCTCAGTCCTGGCGTTGCTTTTCGTCTTTTCCGATCAGTCAGAGGGAATTTCCCCGTTCCCCCCCCCCGTCCCCGTAGTCTGCGAGGGCAGGGTATGGGCTTTCAGAAAAGGTAGCTTTTGTAGAACTGCTCCGCTTCTATCCGGGTAAATCCGGGGCAATGATGGTCCTCGATGACGGCTGGAGAGTGAAATAAGGGCGAACATTCTGTGTTGTTACTTGAAGTGAGTGTGAATGACTAGTTTTATGACAGATGCAGGTGTAACTGAACCAGAAAATACCTTTTTCCTCAAGGAAATCCGTGCGTATTACTCTGAAGCGAAAAGCTTCAGTGAGATTGACACAGTCATTCTGTCCTAGTCAGCTTTTGTCCCTTACAGGACGTCCGTACGGAATGACAAGAAGTTAATAACGTAAAACCAACTTATACTTGTTCTTTTATTTGGAAAATGCAGTCGCCCTAAAAATGGGGTAATCTGCTCACCAGGCCTTTCGGTCCCCCAAGGGCCTGATTCCTTCTGAGGAGAAAGGATGCCATTCTTAAGCGTGCAGGATATTATTTTCTGTGTGACCAGAATGAAAGAGCAGCTTGTGCCTTTTACTATGGGAACCAGTAGTATTTGTGATTTTTCTGTACCTAATATGACATAGAATTATAGGGTGGTTCGGGTTGGAAGTGACCTTAAAGACCATAGCGTTCCAAGCCCCCTGCCGTGCACAGGGACATCTTCCACTGGACCAGACTTGTCGACTCACTCCTCCTGCCCCCACCCCTGCCTCGAATCATGTTTAGCTACTTCCCTGGGTGATCGTTCTGCAGTATGACTTTCCAAACTCAATTATCTCAGACTAAATAATTTAAAGCCTAGTTTATATTTAATTTCATTCTGTCCCACTGGGAGAATTACAGAGAAAGATGGCTAAACAAGCAGGAGTTCTGAGAAATCCATTTGGCTTTTGAGCTGATGAATGGTGTGGTATTGACAACAGATACTTTTCAAAGAACTTCCCCATATGTGGGTATGCCAGCAGGAATCTACATTAAAAAAAAAAAAGTCAAAAACACAACAACAACAAAAAAAACCAACTTCAGAAGAAATTAAGATGAAACAATTTTTAAATAATGGCAGCAGACTGAAAGGGGGAAGGGATTAAACATATGCCAGAATTTCAAGGGATGCTATGCCCCTTAGAGGCAGGGAGGGCAGTGGGTTTTGCTGTGTGGCTGTTCCTAGAAAATAAAGTTTTAAGCACAGGTGAGAGTTATCCCTATTTTGCAGCTAAGACGGAACAAGAAAAGTTGAGGCTTGTGAAATGCTGTTTGCAGTTTGTCTTGAAACCTACAGAAAAAGGCATGTAATTCAGTGTCCTGGACATAAGCAGGAAGGTAAGTCATCCAATGAAAAACACTCCTTAAAATGTATCAAAACATCAGGTAAAGGAAAAACAGTGATGTGGCTTTTGTCACATGAGGTGTGTCTGTACAGCAGTAACCACAGCTCAGCAATGCTACCTTGTTTATGTTTGACCTAGGTAGCTGGCAAGACATCTCTACAAGCAAATATTTTAGTAGAAGTAAAAAGTTAAGAGTGTTTTTCAGCTGTTTTTGACCTGGCTCTGTCTTAAACTATGAGGCTTCCCCCGTGATCAGCACGGTGACTGTGCTACCTGGGCTAATGAGCCTGTTTGTGGAGGGGTAAAGCAATGCCAAGCTGCAGTCAGAGACATACATGTCATATGCTGTGTCCTGGCCAGGTGTGGACCTCAAAGCTCTGAGCTGTGCAGGCACTGGACTTATACTGCAGTTTCAATTACAAAAACCTGTGAGTGGATACTTGGTAACTGGTGAACTACCTAATAAATAATAGAAGAGTTTAAGGATCACTTTAATAAAACTGTATGAAAACCAGCATTAATCTTAGATGGGTTTCTGAACTTCAGAAAATGCAGTCTGTATCTTGCCAGTTGCTAGTAGGTGCTGGAAGTTTTTTCCTGTCTGGCTCAACAACTGTATGGTGTATGAACTGTTTAGCCAAAATCACCATAGAAGTCTCTGTTATAGATAGTGGCAAGATGATGAATCTGCAAGATTTCCAAAGACATTGCCTGAAATTTTGTTTTACTGTTGTTGCCTTGGACCTGACCCAGTTAACCACGAGCATTGGGAAATGCTCATCCCATACACTCAACTATTTAGACACAAGAAAGAGGTTTATATGAATTAGAAGTATGGCAGAGTTTTGATTAAGTCAGATATTCGTGGAAGTCTCAGGTTTTTTCATAGTGTGAGTTGGTGGCCTGTAAAAGTTCAACCTTTAAGGATTTTCCTTTTAATTACTTTTTCAGAATGAAAGATGGAAGAATTTTCACTTTTCTGGCCTTTTCCTGATGACAGTGGCTTTGACTGGGGGCCCTGATCTCCCAAACACTGATTGTCTTATGTTCCTCAATTCTGAAAACCTTCAAGCATACAGTCAGGTGTCCTGCCAGCAGCTCTGCAGCAGTCAATGCTTTTGCAATACCGAGCTCTGCTCATTTCAAAATTGTGAAGCAATCCAGCTTAGCAGTCAGCAGAGTGTAAAACTGAATAGTAGGTAAGTGAAAGGCTAATGGCATGCAGACACCACAAGAAATGTATGGATTTGCCATGTAAACTCAATTTCCAGGCTCAAGGTGTGACTCTGTGATATTTGGCAGCCGTACATTTTCAACAGATGGCCAAGCATCCTTCATGTCCCCACAAAATAAAGTTGTGCATTCTTTTGTTTAATATTTTTGTCTGCACAGACACTTAAAATATTCTTTGAAGATATACTCTTTGTTTTTAGTAATTCTGTTTAGTTTTCTTTAGACTGCAGCATGCTTTTTTTTTTTTTTTTTTGGCAATTTAATGAATAGAATTCTTTTGATTTTCTGTAGGAAGCATTGGAGAGCACCTACTCCAGTTTCAAGCAGAAGAAAGCCTTAAAACTTCAAGGATCAGAATGCTGGGGCATCTCCACTGACAGGTCAGAGCTTTCCGTAACAGAAGGATATAAATCTGTGCCATAAGGAGTGGGAGAGGGGAAAGCACTTAACTGTTATGTGACTGTAACAGTGATGATGACCATCTGTATAGATAGTGTTACATGTCCAGCTTTTGTGAGGAAACTCCATTTGGTCTTTTCCTTTCTTAGTGGAAAGGCATTCCATTACTGAATTTGTGTCTCTCCACATATGGATGTTTAAGTAGAAATAACCAGATTTCCAATTCTCTGTGCTTCAAAATAAGATAGTGAAATGTGAAACTGGAAGGAATAGGCTCATAATGGCATAGCATATTAAATGACTGTTTTATTTCTCTCCACACATGCTAGCTATAAATAACACAAAAGTCTCTGAAAAATCTGCCTGAGAGCTTTAAATCAGAGAAATATTGGATCTTTGTGTTATCCCAACTAAGTTGGTAGACACTGGCCTGGCTCCCAAAGCAAAGCTCCTGGGGCTCTCTGGCAACAACACAAAGCCATAAACACCAGATGCAGTATATCTATCGAAATTAAATATCAGCAGGTTTTTTTCAGTTGGCATTTTAGAAATGCATAGTTCATTTAAATGGTACCAGTGGTTTACCTTTGCACCTGAATCACAACTGCTGTATTTCTGAATGTGTTGGTGTGGAATCTTACAAAAGCTATTTTCCCGTGCATGCCTGTGCTGCTGTCCCTTACGTGTGTGAGCGACAGAAATCACTCTCCTCCTTGCTTGTTCCCTTCTACCTGCCTGCTGTTTTAACAGAAATGCTGTAAAACATGTGAAAAGTGCTGCTGAGCCGAGCTGTGTGCAGGCAAGCACAGTACAGGCTTTCTTACTCCTCATGTCCTCAGAATGAAGTGACAGATTGGGAGTTTTAACGAATTATAAATGCCACCAAGACTCTTTCAATACGTGTGATTGAAAGGATCAAGTTATTAGCTGTGTCAGTGTCTGCAGAGTAATTTCACAGCTGTGCTTATGGCTTGTGATATCCCAGGGCTGTCTCTTCTCCGTGTCAGTTGTGTACAAGTCCCAGATGTTCATTTCACACCTATGGGCTATTTGGGTCTGGTAAACAGTTATTGTTGCTGGTGAGACTTATTATCATCAAGTACATATCACTGCAGTGATTCCATGCATTAAATATATCTTGGCTATTCAAGTCTTAAGCATAAAGATGGGGGTGGGGGGAAGAAAGGGCTGTTATTTGCTCATGTGGATTGAATTTCTTCTTGCTGTAGTTGGCCTTTAGTTAGAGCCACTCCCTAGCTTGTTTTATTTTGTTGATTTGTAGTTTTGTCAAGCATGTTGGGAAAGTCTCAACGCTCACATGGTCATTAAGTTTTACTGTCTGTGTTGCCAAAGTATTCAAGATTTTTGTGGTACATGAGAAGGTTGCTGAAAATGGACAGATTTTGAGCCAGATTCTCACTTCTGTAAAGATCCTTGATGGGCCCTTGAAGGGCCTGGATAGTGCAAAGAGGCCCCACCTTTCAAAAGATGACTTTGTAATAGCCAGTGAATGTAATGGTTTAACACTGTAAACAGGCCGGGTACCTTTGTTTTTGGTTTTGTCAGCAAAGTGATGTTTTTCATTTGTTTAAGGACCTTGTCACACCTGCAAGTCCTGGCAGGACCTGAGACTTACTCAGACTTAAGACTGTCTCTTTTGGTAGGTGTGCAGTGGTACCATGGTGGGGGCTCTCAGAAGTTCTCAGCAAACAGTGTTTTGTGTGGTGTGGGGCTGGAATGGCTGCACTGTTCTTTGTGTGCAGAAATAGGCACTGAGGATCCTGCTTTGGTTCTGGAGTCACTTTCCAGACCTCACAGGAGGTGTGTGTGGGAGAATCCTTATGGCAGAGGATCTGGTGGCTTCAGCCTTGGTCTCATCTTTGCAAGCTGATCTTTCACACAGTAATTTTGGCTGTCTAAATATCCAAAGTACAATCCAAACTAATTAGAGAGGCTTCACCTCTATGATGTTTTCCCCCAGAAGGCTTTTCATGGGAAGGAGTAATGTTCCTGCTGAATGTGTCTGTCGTTCTCTACTCATTACTGACGGAGTCTAGTTGTTCTGCTAAATCAAGGTGCACAGACGTTTGAAAACTTGACACTTGACAGAGATCTAAGATCTCCCAGAAGTTGTTTTGTGGATCTGAACTCCTCCAGATGATAGGGCTGTTTGTGTTCCCTGGATATTACACCAGATGCTTTACCTGCAGTCTGCATAACCCTTGCAAAAGGCTTCCTGAGATGTGGGGTCTGGCAGTTCCAGTGCTTTCTCTTTTTATTGCAGAATCCAGAGATGGCACAGTATTTCAAAATTCATCTCTAAGGTGACGTATCAGCGGGATCATAAACCCAGGCAAAGGCAGGATTTATTTTGCTATTACATACTGATGACAGGTCCCTGTAAGAGCTGTTTTGTGTAGCCTTTGCAATTAGCTCAAGCCCAAACCCTGAGTGAGTGATGGAGGAAAACATTAGGAATTTGACCCTTTAGGAAAAAAAGCCACAAGGCAGAGAGGACTGTTATTTATTGAAGAAACTGATCTCAGGATTAAAGTTTTTATTTTTAGTTTTTAAATTCCTGTTTGGACAGTTACGTAAGTGCCTAATTTCAAAAGTGTGAGTGTGTGACAACTTCTGTGGAACTTAAATGGGAGTGGCAGCAGCGCCCTAAATTGAGGTAGGATATTTGGATTCTTGATATGCATTTGGGTGTCTAAATTTGGATTTCTAAGTAAGAACAACCTCTCCCTCTGCTTTGAAGCTTTGCTGAATGTAAAGGTAAATATGAATGTAAAGGTGTGTTCTTGGGTCAGCATCACCGTGTTTCCTTTGTCTGTTCTTCACGTCCAGGCCAACATTTCATCCCTGTGAGAGCAGAGAATTGTGAGAATGACTGAAAATCCCACAAGTCTCACTGCCTAAGATTAAGGCATAGCAGCAGACTTCTGGTTCAGGACCTTTAGCTTCTGACATCATGAATTATGCTTTTGGGGATGTTAGTGCAACACCACTGCAACCCACAATATCTCTCTGTTGGGATGTGGATTTGGCTCTGTATTTATTTTTATTCCATAATCCGTTTTGCCATGTTTCCAGACAAAGCAAACTTCGCTCAAGTTCTCGTCAAGTAGTAAGAAGAAAGTGTGTAGTGACTCCCTGAAGTTCCAAAGAGTGCTTAATTCTTTTTTGATTATGTTTTCAGTTGTTTAAGGCAGGGCCTTCTTATTTGTGGGTACATGTTGCTTGCTCATGCCATTGTACCTTAGTCTCAGCTCTAGTTACTGTTGTAGTATGAATGATCATTTTGAACTCCCCAGTCTGCTGTCTTTGAAATGTAAAATTTCTATTTGCCATTTGAAGATAGGGTTTCTTGTGTAACCAGAATCTATAAAGTGGTGCTTAAGACTGGAGAAAGTCCAAGGGGATTCTTACTATAATGATGTTCTGAAAATCAAGGAATTCCTGTCCTGCTTGCTGCATTGTTTTCATTCATGGCGGAGGAGACCAGATTGAAGGATCAAATCCAGCTTGCTTGCTTGTCCTCTCTCTCCCTGAAATGCTTTATTACAGGACTCAATTAAGAGCCAATTTTCCCCTCAGACTCTGTCTATGAGGTCACACCTGCCCTTATGAAATATTGAATTTGCAGCCGCAGGATTTATTACAACGGTATTTTAAAACACACAGTGCTGGTGCAGCAGCTCTAATTAGAAATGTCCTGAGTTCGCTGTGCAGGCAAAGCGTTGTTTCTGAACTGCAGCACTGACAGCAAGAGGCAAACATGGATTGTGTTTTTACATGTTTGAAGGACAAACAGATGTACCTGTGGGAAAAACTGGATTCTGCTGTGAAGGTGCTGCTGCACTGTGCTTTCTTCCTTCTTTAATTTGAATTAGCTCAGCTTGGGTCACAATTTTGCCTCTGTAGCATTACTGAGTTGCAGCAGTTTAGTGGAGAGGGAAGACCTGTGCTGAGGTGCTGCAGCTTTGTGTTACGGTGTGACAAATTATGTACTTTGCCGTAATAGTCAGTAAGAAGTAATTAAAACAGAAGGTGGACCAATTTCTACATTTTCACAGAATATTCTGAGTTGGAAGAGACCCACATGGATCATCAAGTCCAACTTGTAAGTGACTAGATGATTTCTATTAATCTAGTTGGTTTTGGTTTTAAAAATTCAGGAATATCCACTAGGTCTAGTCTTATGTTACCTGCCTCATCTGTGACTTCCCTAAAGTCCTCCATTCAGCCTGCCTTGGGGAAAACCTCTCCTGGTGCTCTGCTGTGTCATTTTGAAATGCAGGCCTAATATCTAGCCTAAGCCAGTTTTTTCAGTTATTCCTTTACTTCTTATCCTGCCCACCATGCACATGCAGCTACTTAACTGCTGTTTTCTCCAGCAGCTCCCTTTTATTCTGTATTCTATGTTCCCTTATGTGCTCTTCTGTAAGTAAAACAAATCCAACTGAAGTGGTCCATGTCTGTTTATGCTAGATATTTATCACAGAAAGTCTCCCCTGCTTTCCTTGACAGGAAATCTAACAGGCAGAGATGGGAAAAAAATTAGGAGATGAATACACAAGAGGAGTTCTGCTGTACGCTGCAAATTGCCCACTGTGGTACCAGACAGCCCTTGTTGATCATGCCTGAAGAACATATTCTTTCTCTGAATATGAAGCATGGCAACCCACTGTACTAGGGCTCAGGATTGATATTGCTGTCCTGCAGGGATAATTGGGAATTTACCAAACCAGAGCAACAGATGCCTTGAGAGACGCAAGTATGATTAACTTCATAAATACGTATTATGAAATCATGGGCAGTGTTCTAACTGTAATGTATTTTCCCTGAGGGAAAATATGCCTGAGTAAAGAAATCAGAAAGCACTTGATGCCAAATGCAGAATGAAAAGAAATTCCTATAAGGCTGGAGTCTATCCACATATTTTTCCTAGTGGTCTTTTCCTTTGGAGAATTAGATGAGGAGTTATTTCTCTTCATTTTATTGTCCTCTAATCACCAAAATCTACATCACTTTGCTAAAACACACACTGACATGTATCACGTGCATATATAACATTCCCTAGGAGACTTGTTACTGCTTTATAGTCACTGCAGGTGAATTTGTTTATAAGAAGGCAAACACTTATTTGAGACAGCATGAATGTAAGTCAGTATTTGCTTCAGTGCTGAAGGAGGATTTCTGAGCTTTTTATAGTATAAAGGAGATGGTTTTTTTTCTACAAAGCTGTGAGACCAAGGAACCCTGGAGGTGGATTCAAGCAGTCCTCATAAAGAGGACTGTTTATAATAAGGTTTCACTTGTCAGACGTGGAGGGCCTTTAACGTCACATCTGGGTTAGCTGCTTGAGTTTGCAAGTTAGTCTTAAAGCTGTTGGCACTTCCCATGTGACATTCAGCTTTGCCTCAAGGAATCCTAATTTGAGAGCCGCTGAAAAAATTTGCTAGAGGGTCCCTTCTTGTCAGTCTGTCCTGGCAGAAGGTGATGTGTTGAGTTATTCCTGAATCCTGCTGACCCTTGCTTGCAGGGGCATCTGTTGGCAGCAGATATCATGTAGAAGATCTGACGGATTTCCCTGGCTTGCACGGGCATCGGAGCCTGGGATCTGGCAGCCATAGGTTAGAGGTACAAAAAGCTGCCTAAAAACTGCCTTGTGCCCAGGGGTGTGTTCTGCACCTCTGGGAGAGAGTATGCTGGCCTCAGAGCCTGGACTGACAGCACTTTATTCCAGCCATTATGTCCCAAAATCTCAGTCTGGCAAAGGTGGAGTCAATCGAAAAAAACCCCTGTCCTTCTGTTATTTCCGTTCCGATCTCAGTATTCCTTTACTATGCAACAGTGAACTTCTACTGGTAAATATCTTGGAGCACTTTTTTTTCTGTGTGGCTTTCAAAGCAGAGAGAAGGAAAGTGCCAAGTGAAACTGAGCTTCAGAAAGCCACATTGCTTGGGAGAAAAAGCTCATCAGCTACAGTATTCAGTACGATGGGTAAAAATCTTGGGGCTGGATTGTTTTCTCTAAGAGTAGACAACTAGTGTAGCCCTATTTTCAGTCCTGTGTGCAGTCAGGGTCCTGACAGCACTGGGCACTCAGCTGCAGTGGAATAAAGATATGGTTTGGGTTCTTTTGGGTTAGTAAGGGCTTTAACCTTTCACATGAAACAAGCCGTGTAACTTCACCAGGCACTTCTGCAGTGAACTTTATAACACCTGATGGAATGAGAGCTTGTTTCTTGTCCAGTCTTGATTTAACTGGGTCCAGCACGTGCTTAAGAGCTTTGCTGAGTCTAGGCTGAGAAATACTTTTCATGTAGGAATACTGCAGAAAGGATAATGATCACAAGAGTCTGCGTGGCAGCAAAGGCTTCAGCCTGCTCCCTTTGAGCCTCAACTTGTCTCACTTTGACATTAATAAAATGTCACGATGTAGACTTCAGTTGAAGTAGCATTTTTCATCAGATTTCTTTACTTGGGTTTTGTCCCCCACCCTTGTTCCTTTTTACCTACGTGCAAGTGTCTTTCTGGTCTTGGACACTTCAGAGAAATTGTAATTTAAAAATCCTTTTTAACTACACCTGAATTTGCAGTCAGAACTTTCATCAAATTTAAGTACTATTTGATTTGTAAGTGTTGGCTGATATTTGGTCTGATTAATTTCATGCACTGGTTTCTGGAAACTGCAATACTTCATTGCACAGGCAAATATTGGCAAGTGATCCAAATGCTTTGGAGCTCCCAAGTAGAGATGCATTAAAAGGAGCTGGCTTTTCAGGGCGCCTCCACCTTCTGAAATGTCTCTGCAGCTATTAAATTGATAGAAATACAGTTTCTCAAATAGTATGTAGAGTTGAGAGTTTCTGACATATTAGGATATCTCTAAAACTCAAGATTGATACATATATAACATCTGTAAGATATCTGTGTCTTGTCTTTTTTTCCAGGTATCTTTCAGGAGCTGCCTTATCATGTACCTGTCATAAAGCCAAAGTAGGAGCAACTGTTCATTCTAAGGTAAATTTCTGATCATGCTGAGAACAAGAGAAGTTTGGTTGGTGGGAGCCAGGTATTTGGCTAGTTTCTTTCAACTGTTATCTGCAACATGATTCTCAGTTTGTTTTTTGAGTATATTGCTGAGCTTCCTCAGTAAGAGATTGTAATTTATACAGCTGGAGCTGGAATGAGCCTTTGGTCACCAGTTTTGGTTACCATTTCTGTCTGTTCTTCATCACTTCAGACACTAATAGTCAGTGTATACTCAGTGGATCCAAAGGGTGTTCACTCTTGTTGTAGTGATATAGTTTAGTGGTTAGTGTGCAGGACAAGAAGAATACTGACTTCCACACACAGGATTGTTTTGTGATTAGCATTCTGTGTGGTAAAGAGGGGATGAGTTGACAACCTCATCCTGAAATATAAGTGTAAACAGTGTCTAGGTGGCTCTTCAACTCAGTCCAATAAAACAGAGTTTATCTCCTGTCTGATAATTTTAGCAGAAATTATTCAAGAATATTGTTTGTTTTATACAGCCCTGCAACTCTCCACTCTTACCACTCTAGGAATTGGATATAGATGTAGGCTTGTTGATTTGTGCAGCTGAATATTTCATTGCCAGAATATTTTATTGCCAGAGTTCAAAGACTTTTACAGAGTGCTCTGGCCAGTATCAAAACTGAATTCTTCCACTAAAAATTCAGAGTAACTTCACTGATTAAAAAAAAATTGCAGCTGCATTTGGCCTGAGGGGTTTTCATTTCAAACTACATGACTTTTCTCAATTGGGCATTTTAGAACTGTAAGGCTCATCCCACAATGATCTTTGCCTTCTAAAGGGTGGATATAATTTGGGTCCCTCTGCAGTAATAGCTGTTTGAAGATGAATTCAGTGTTCTTGTCAGGAGTTCAGTTACTTTGTTGGTTAGTGCATTTAGAAAGCTGCTGTCAGTCTAACTGATTCAATTCCACAGTGTTTCTTGATTTTTTTTTCCAAGTGCTGGTCCAACTATTTTATTCCTGCATATTGTGTAATATCTCAGCATAGACAGCAACCTCCATAATAGCTATTTTTTTCCTGCCTTTTTCTAACCCCAGTCACACTCCAGTGTGAATACTGATTGCAAAGACATTGTTTGGCTTGGTTACAACCTCCCTATTTGATTACTTCCTCTGCTTGCTGGGTCCATCAGAGACCTGCTGTTTCTCTAGACATCTCTCTCCTGATATACTTCAGGCATTTTTTGTTATTTCTTCTGGCAATTTATTGTCCTGGGTTTTTTCTTTTTTTATATCTTTTTCATTTTTCCTGTCAAAATCCATTCCATGTATTAAAGACAGATGAACTGGATTTACAGAGCCTGAAATACTGTTTTGGCCCTAAAACTTACCCTTTGTCACACCACTGGAAATTACTGCAACTTTTCTGTATCTTTACTTTAAAGATCCCATTGAAGTCAGGCAGACATGTGTGGCACTTTTCTAGCAGGAGAATATTTATTTAATCCCTGTATAGAGAAGCAGAGAGCGAAATCCTAAATCCATTCAAATCAGTGGGGCTTTTCCTGGGCTCCAGCTGAATCATGGCTTAATGATCAGCTTCATGGTCTGTAGTCAGCCTCCCAGAAAAAGGAAAAAGAAAGCACAAAGCAGGATTTTCACTTTCATATTCTGGGATTACAGGCTGAGCTGAGGGACAGTGTTTTACAGCAAGAGGTGATGGACCTGAAGAACCAAGTTTTCTTCTGGTTCTTTCACCAGTCTCCTAAAGATACTTTAAAATTTATGTTTTAGCATTTGCCTGCTGTAAAGTAAGAAAGTTACTTGGCAGCACAGTACAGTTTGAATGCATAGTTTTGCTGGTGTATTGCAGTAGTATTCGAGGTTCTGGACGTGCATGTCTATCTGGGACATGCGAAGCCCGTAAAGCAACAAATAAGCTTAAGGTGTGTGTTTTATTCAGATGCTTAAATGTGTTGCCTGGATTGGGCCTTAATTTATTCCCTGTGAATTGTGGTGGTTTGTCCCAGTGAAAGTCATCTGGTTTGATGACAAGCCCGGCTTATTCTCCCAGTACTGAAATAAGGTGGGTTAAAGAGGTTTCCCCCTATTTCCTGTCCCTCGCTGAAGAGCAGCTTGAACAGTGAAAACTGTCAGGAGTGCTTTTTCAAAAGCAGCAACGTTGGAAGCTGAAGATAAGAGCATTTATCTCTGTGTCAAAACTACTCAGTGTCTTTGATGGACTCCCAACACACCGTAACAAGGAGCTTAGGCTGGAGAAGCTGGAATGCCAGGAGTCCAGGGGGTGGTGTTTATCCTGCTGAAACATGGAATACATCAAATCAATTACACGGTGCTGAAGTATTTCCCCATCACCAGCCAGTGTTGTGAGCTCCAAGAAAATATGTTCTCCTAGGCTCTAGGGGAGCCTCCTCCTTGAGATGCTGATTTAATTTGAAATGCGTATTAACAGGGAGAGAGAGAAAAAGAGGGAGAGAAGATGGAATCTCATATGTTTTGCAGCAGATTGCCACATCGATCTTGTCACTTGGCAAACACAGTTGGACCTGAGGCTCTGAGTCTGTGGGATGTGCTGTATTTCTGTCATCAATTGTCAGCCTCAGAGAAGCACAGGAGAAAGAGAGGCATGGTATCAGAGTAGAGAATCTGTAATAAATGGACCAGCAAGCCATTTAGGAGCAAATCAAAGCAATTGCATTTTTGGATTATGCTTGCCTTCATCAGCTAGAAATGTGGTCTGTCCTCATCTCCTCTCCCAGCGAAGCAATGATGGGAAGGACTAGTATTTCTATGGAGGCTGCTCCTGTCTGTGCTGTTTGGAGTTAAGCTGTTCTACATGGGAAGTGGTACCTGCAGGTCCCAGAGGAGCCTTCAGCCTGCCCTGTGCCCACCCTGGTCCCACTTGTGCTGTAGCCACAGCCCTCTCTTGAGCCATCTCTGGGACAGCTCCTCCCTATGGATTTCTCCTCTGAGCTTGCATCCGAAACCCACAACCCATTGCTGATGGCCAATTTGGGAGCTGACAGGATCACACTTACATTCTGCAGGGACTTAGTCCTGGATCTGAAACTTCCCTGAAATAGTTCTGTCCATCAGGAATGTGGCTTAAAACCTGGTTTTGTTTAAAGGACTGCCCTGGAGGTGTTGCACTGCTGGTGGGTCCCACAGCCAGACAGCTGGAACGGCATCCCCCAGAAGGTTTAGTCCAACAGATACACTGGCAAATTGGTCCGAATGAACAGCAGGCCTTGGGCATCCCTCTGCCTGGATGTTTGTGCCATGCTCTCTGGGATGATGTCAGTGCCTTGGGATGTGTTTCTCCCGAGCAGAGCAAAAACACTAGAGAGCGCCATGTATTTGCAGATTTTGGCTTGTGAAGTGCAGTCTGAGGATGTGAGTGCTCCCTGAGGGGGGGGATGTAGGGAGAGCCATACTCAGGACCCAGCCTGGGCTCACTGCTGTGTGCTGCTCGGGAAGACTTGGGTATGGAGAGGCGATTTCCCTCTGGATGTGGGCAGCTGCAGATGCAGTGTAGCTTTGTACTTTGTCTCTGGGGGAGAAAAGGCAGTTTGGCTGTCGAGAGGAAATCCCCTTGGTCTCACTGCTAGTAGAGGAGATGCATTCGAACCAGCAGACCTTCCCAGCCTTCTGTTCCAACCCTCTGTCACACCACCTTGAACATAGCAACCGAGAGAGGCCTGTCCAGTGACCTCCCATCTGAAGGAAATTCTCAGCACAGACCGGGATTAAATGTCTCAGGAGGTGCCAATGAGGAGCTTCGTAGAAGGATTGACTTTGTTTTTGAGCTCACGCTTTCTAATCCTCCTGAAGAAAACTTTATTTTCAAGTACTTCAGTACATAAACAATGTTGAATATTTTAGTGCATTTGAATGGCTGAGTCATTTCTTTGAAAGCGGGCTGGATCAGATTATTTTGCTGTCTCTTATTCCCAGTGATGCAAAAGGCATAGACTCCATGTGGGCTTCATGTGGGCGCTACCCTCTTCTTCCTTGTGGGAGGGTGAGAAGCTCATGACTGTTTCAGCAGTACTGGAGAATAACTGTCTTGGCTGTTACAATATGCACTGTCCTGTATCTTTTCCAGTTATCCAAGGCCTCCTGAAGCTCCCCTCTACCCTAACTTGGTGAGGAAGCAGTCTACCTGGCATCATGCTGCTCTTAATCACTGATCATGTGATGGTGATGACTAAACTTTCATTATAATGAGCTGGCTTTTTTTCCTCCCCAGTGAAATATTTCCTACTGAAAAATGAGGCTTCATGGAAACCTGACTTATCTTTCAGAAGATGCCCATCTCCATGTATTCAGAAGTATTTTTTCAAAGAAAAACTTAAGAGTTATTTTTTAAGGAAGGTAATATGTAGATATTTCAGAATTTTAAGTTGGCTGGTTTTTTCCTCCTTTTCTTGTACTACTTAGTCTAAAAGGCTCAACAAAGTCTAGCTGTTACTTTTCCTATCTCATATTTTTTATTGTTTTGTGGATGTTTGTCTATCTTGACATTTCTGAAAACATTTCACATTGGGAAAGCTCAGACATAGTAAAAAAAAAAGGTAGAAAAGGAAAAAAGGTGGTAGTGAAAAGATGTTTTGGAGGAAATGTTATTATTGCAGTTGCCAGCAGGAGGAAAAAGGAGAGGGAATACATTCCCCCCCCCCCCCCCCAGTCCTGTTTTGACCTTCCTCAGCTCTCCCTGGCATTACTGCTGGTCTTCTCTGCCCTTTAGGCTGTGTCAGGAGCATCTGGAAACAGCAGATAAGACAGAGCCATGGGGCAGAGCTGGACCTTGGGAGCAGTGCTGGAGGGCAGGAGGCATCTGTGTGCTTTGGGGGAACTCTGTGGACATGAAAAGCTGCTGTGTCCTAAGCAGAGCATCTATCCAGGGAGAAGCCATCCAAGGGGGAGCTCGCCACCCCTGTGCTTTGGGAACTGCCTCTCTCCTTCCATGGAAGGGGGATGTCGACTCATCGGGGCTGGTA